CCTACACATCCCTCCCAGGGACTTAAGGATGACACTAAGAGGGTGGCAGCATGACTGAGGGAAGACACTGTGAGCACCTCCCTCCACCAAATTTGGCACATTAGCACAACCTTTGCAGGACTTGTGTTGTGGATGTGAACCAAGGTAGGAGACCTTTGCCAAAGGAGAACCTTAAAGCCAAGTTCAGTCTAACTGGATTGTCAGAAAAACTTACAGCTTTCAATTTCCAAGGTGCAGTTTTGTTCATCCAGTGGGTACCGCCTCAGGTCCATCATGCAGGCAGCTGTGGTTGTGATTCTAGAAGAGAAATATCAATGATACATGCTGTTAGCTGATCCATGACTGAGCTGGGAAAATTAAATCTAAGTCTCAAAGAAGACAGCACTGGGCCTCTAGGAGACTGATTTAGCTTAAGCTCTAACAACAAAAAAAAGAGTGCTACAACTCTGGATAACCATTTTCCTTGATGAGCCTCATGATGCTTTGTAAATTAAACAGAGTGGACTAAATCAGTATTCTCCCAAGATGTGGTCCATTACCTACTTGGTACCCAAATCACCTGGGAACGTTTGTTAAACAGGCAGTTCCCATTCTCCAGAAGGTCTTGGGGGTGGGATGGGGCCGTCCCAGGACACTAGTTTACAAGCATCAAAGGTGATTGAGAAAACCAACATGGATATTACTCTTGCACTCACATTTGGTTTCTCCTCCCCTTCTCAAGACCCTAAAATCAAACCTTCCAACAATCTTGGCTTTGGTCCATCATTTTTGACCTTTCTATACATAGTGTGGTGCTCTGCAAGTGTATTAGTATAACACACAATATGCCTTTCATCTGTCACCTGATTTGCTCTGTCCTGAATAATCTGATATTCTCAAGGCCTGTTGGAGAGCTTCCTCCTATCGGTTGGCAGAGTTATTTATTTAGGACACACTGTACCTTTATTAATTTATCAGGGAGAAATGAATATGTCTCTTTAATGTCTTTATATTTCTGTCACCATTTTTCACTAATCTCACCTTTCACTAATTGAAGACGTGCTAGAAAGAGCCAAAAAACATACAGCCCTAAATGATTTATCAATTTGGTTTCTGATCAATAAGGCAGCACAATGCTATGAAAAAGCAGAAGTTTTAAAACACAACAGACATAGGTTTGGATTCTAATTCTGCCTCACTAACTGTGATACACATCCAGATGGTTAATATCTCCTAAACAACCTTACTTAGTTTCTTTGTCTGTAAAAAGGGGGCATTCTTAACAACAACAGTAATAACAGCCTAACAGAGTTTCTGTATGAACTAATAGAATAATTTATGTAAAGAATATAAAAGAGTCCCTACACATAATATAGGCCCTTCACATCTGCTGAAAAAAATGAAGAGGAGAAACTGATGTTAAATTTGACCAACTTTGGCTTACTCTGCTCCTAGAGGTACTATACTGTGTGTTGGAAACAGAGAAATAAGATGCAGATCCAGCTTGGGAGAAACAATCCATACCTAGACCTTTTTCATTAGAAGGTCTTGGGCAGACCTTAGACAAGTAGTCCAGGTAGACTAAATCTCTGAAATTCCTTAGTTAGGTGTGAAAGTCCTACTCCTCAGTTGTAGGACGGAAATACCTAAATGACTTAATGTAAGTAGTTCATGCCTCTTTAGTTTGATTACTTCTTCATTAAAGCTTGTGCTCTGTTAATTTTTGTTTCCCTCTTTAGGGATAAGCGAGCATCCTAGGGGTGATGTTCATCCTGGGTTCCTTGCTCTCCTTCACCAGGAGATGGCTACTCTGCTTCAACTCCTTTCTACCTCCACTGCCTTCCTCAGTGTCTATGGTCCCACTGCCTCACTTCCATGTTACTACAGTATCTTAGTCTCCTAGCCTCTCCATTTACCTCCCTACTAACTATAATTCATACAACAGTCAGATGTTTTAAAACCACAGATCAGATTTTATCTCTCCTCTTTAAAATTTTCAGTGGCTCTTCCAAAAAGATCCAGTCTTGGCTATGGCCTATTGTGCCCTGAGTAATCTCACCCTTCTCTCCCAATGTTTTCTCATACCAAATCCTCACTCACTATTTCCAGCCTTCACATTTGTTCTCTCTGCCTAGAACATGTGTTCCCACCGCGATACTCTCAGAGCATTTTTTCCGATCCTTTAGCTGAAAAATCAACTCCTCTGAAAGGGCTTTCCTAAGCAGCCCACCCAAAGTGGCTGCCTTAACTAATGCTCCATCTTAGCTGTTTATTTCCTCCAAGGAATTACTACAACCTGAAATTATCTTGCTTATTTCTTTTCTTGTAAGAACTATTTTTCCCAGTAAAATTTAAGCTGTTTAAAGACACAGACTTTTTTCTATTTACTGTAAGGGAATCAAAAAGTATCTGCTGAAAGGATAAATACATGAATTATACAGAGTCAAGCAGCTGGTTTTGCTGTGCATAAATCTTTTATTTGGAGGATTATTTTATTGCATCATTTCTCTTTTTTTAAACTTACAATGGGTCTTAGGTTTTAGGGATTCTTTTTATATTTTTAACATAAGTAAATTAACATAAGTATATTTTTAACATAAGTAAATTTAACATAAGTAAATTTTAATCCACTTAATTAGCATTACATAACTAGTACCAGAGTTTATCTTAGTATCGAACTGATTGCTTTTCCTTTCAATGGGACTGATCAAATACCTATATTTTATAAATTCTAAAATTTATATAAAAATTAACATTCACATTTACTCAGGGTTAAAAAAAGAATTTATTTTGGCTATGTGATACTTGGCTAAATTTTTCACTGGTCCACTGATTTTTTCAAAGTGTAGATCCAACCTGAATTACCACTAACATACAGGAAACTGAATTGTTTCCGTTTCCTGAATATATTTGAATATTTCTTCAGAAGAGAAATATTCAAAGGAAATATAATTAGGTGCATAGTGGGCATACCAAATTCTCATGCTATTTATGAAAAATAGCAGACGCAATCTCCATCTTGAGACACTAGAGAAAATCAACTTCATTTGATAGAATGAACACAAAAGACATGAAAGGTACAAGAGCATACATACCATAAAAAAGGACAGCCATAAATAGATGACTGACTGTGTAAGTGAGGTGAAATTTGCAATTGCTACTACAGGTTGTAGTTTACACTTTCTGCTGATGCATATTCATGGCAACTAACATCTGTGAACACTAGTGTTGTAAGAAAAATAAATTGACTAATTCTATTGCAGAAGCAATTGAGTTTCTACTCATGTTTTAAAAATGAAGTATTATGAAAGTGTTTTTCTCACATCAACAACATTCATATTCACACCAATGTTTTACTGTTTTTAATGCTATAGTATACTTTGTAAAACTAAAAAATATATATAAATGTTTTCTAGTTGATGTTTATAAGCATTTGTATCTCCTGTTGGATTAAAATAGAAACTGTAGCCAAAATAATCCATTTGGAATCCTGATCATACAAGCCAGGATGAGTGACCTGAGATAAGTCATTTACACGCGCCAATACTAGGTTGCTCCTGAAACCCTGAACTAAAAACTTGCCATCCTGCTTTTCTGTGAGATGATAAAAGTAGAAAAAAATCTGTAACATTAAATATTCTGCATCTTTTGTTATTACTCACTGCTAATGAGTGAATACAGTGATAACTCATTTAGCCAGTGGTTACTTGGTAGTGTGCATATGTATATGTTTGTATACATGAAGAAATGTAGAACACCCACAAACTTATTTTATAAGCAAAGCAGAGCTATAAAATATGATATATAAATATTCAAAAGAGTCATCATGCCATATGTGTATACGAAATTCTTATTAACAACTTTTAAGACAAAGTACTGACGTGTAACAAATCTGCATATTTTTTAGGTGCTTTGTAAGAGCAGGAACAATTTTTGCCTTATTGCTATCTCAAAAACCTTGCCAGGTGTTGGCACATGTCATTAACCCAAGATTAAAATAAAAATACTAATAATAACAACAACATAAAACAAACCAAGACAGCCATGGTCATAAGTATTCCCAAACTGAGGATTCTGAAGTAATTCTCTAGATTAAGTGTCTGATTTAATTTATATAAAAAATTCTCAAGCAAATTTAAAAGTCAAAATCATCCTTACAGAAGAAGCTACCCTGAAGTGAACCTTACTCAGAAAAGCTCAACAATCAACATCAAAATCTATTCTCGGGGACTTTCAGATTTGTAACAGGGTTGTTTCTCTAAGAATAAGTCAATAAAACAAATATACTTAAAGGGTTTTCATGAACATGCCTTTCTGAATCCTGATAAAGATCCTTAATGGGCCTTAAATTACTCAACATCACTTCTAGGAGTCTTTGAAGTGAAGCTAGTAACTCATTAGGCAGGCATCTTGATTAAGTTTCAAGACCATTGTGAAATATATGAAGACAGTTCTGTTTTCAGTCAAAGGAAACAGTCAAGGATACCTACAAAATTTGCCTCATTTACCTGTAGCAATTCTTCTATAGCTAAAAGTGGAGATGTGTCTTCTTTGATGCTGAATACTATGGCATGAAGAGAGCCACCTTTGGGGAATACTGATTATTCTGACTGGGCTAAGAGATTTTTAGATAAATTTTTATTCCTCAGCCATTGGACACTGTCATCCAAAAATGATTTATGTCATAAAATACTGACATAGTGCAAGGAAACTAAATATGTAAAATAAAATAAGAGTCATTAAAGGCATGCATAAAATCAAGAAATACAACAACTATGCCAGCATTTCATATCAAAGCCATAATAGATATTTTATGGTGTCATTACCTGTCATTACTATATCATTCCAAGTTTGAATATGACCAAAGACAGTTATTAAGTAATAATAAATGCCTCTGCCACTCAGCCAATAGGAAATAACTCAGAATCATCAATGTGACACACTTGGGGTCTTTCAGCAGATTCTTCAAGAGGGACTTCAGGAGCTAGAATACATGGTTAAACATGTGCTTTAAAATGTGAAAACCTGTTAGGATTTCATCCAGAGATTATCGAAAAGTGACTCTGGACTTTTACTTTGTTTGATTTCTTTATCTAGATAACCATCTAGCTACTCCACACAAAAAAACTTGTTTTCAGCACCTTTGCAAATTTTTTAAGAAAGTCAGCTACCTTATCCTCAACTATATTCAAAACATATTGTTCTAATTCACCACATGCTTTTCCTTTGTTCAAAATGTACATTTACCTAAAAGCACAACTTATTCTAATTACAAGGAATAAAGGAACCCCCTGGTATTAGTATGCAGGATTAATAGA